CTTAGAGTGAATCCCTGCCAGGAGAGCTCGACGATCAACTGGGTCAGAAGCCATCGGAGATTGTAGAAATTATTGCCCGAAGAGATGAACGGAGATGAGCTTGAATTCTCTAGAGGGGATTTCAAAAGGCAATAACCGTCGCTCTTATGGCCCTATTCCTATATATAAATAGCTGATTTTATAGCTGTCGGAATCCAAACCATTGGATCCAGCTGTGTCCAACAGTCAGGATTCATTTTTAGAATTCGAAGCTCCCTCGGGGATCGAGGCGCAACCTACTTACCTTGAATAGCCTGCAATCTGCCAAAAAAGAGAAACTATAATAGTAAAAATGATGTATGATGACGTCAACCATGTCACCTCTGAAGTGACTTTTTAATTCTCATTCAAAGCACCCACATCCGTCCAAAATAATTTTTTATTGTATTTCACTCGGACCCGGCTAAAGGCGGCTCCAAGCGAAAGGGGCCAACTGTTATGGTGTTCCCATTTTTGCCGAAGTACAATTCATTGCCAAACACTGGATATGTGTATTTCCGCACACACAATACCCCAAGCAACTTGGCGACCCAGGCCCAGCAGGAATTTTGACTTAGCCGACTCGTCAAGTTGATATCCCTTTATGTTGACTCGAGAGGCGGTACTTATCGCCCCTTATTGTCGAAGACGACCCTCCATGAGTTCATTCGACCGCTTGTTCAACACCTCACGAGGACGACTCGATGGACGTTACTTCTCGACGAAGCTAAAGGACTGTTTTCGCCTCGAGTCCCTCTCTGACAACGTGTCGACATCACATTTAATGCATGACAGGCGTATCATGCATCTAGCCTCGATAGTCTTCATGACTTATCGGACCACGTGGGCCACCGTCCTGCCACCACTCACTTCTCGTTTAATGCTGAAGTGATCCTTCCCCTACTCTCCAACCGAATACCTGTAAAGCAAGTGCTGACGCAGTTACCAGCCCACACTTTGCCACCGCCTTCCTACAGTGGCCGAAGTAACCAATCTACCCTTATACCCTAGGTATAAATACATGTACTATTCTGTCTTTACGGGGGACCGAAGATCTGATCCTTGATCCTAATTTTCTGGATTCAGATCTAAATCCTTTAAAATTGCAAATCATATTGCACACACACAAGAACTCACACAGTTCTTATTTACCCCACTCAAGTTCATCAGCTAACTTGATCAACGAAGGTACAACGGGGAACCAAGCCCCTTCCCCTCACGAATTTCTACATGTCAGATTCCCAACTCAAGAACTAGACATAAAGTCAAGGAAGAAAGCATCATTTCATCAATCCTCAACAAATTCATCCAAACACGGATACATATTGACTGTGTGATCACTAGTACATCAACACCTCCCTCTCTATATCTGCTATATATGCACACACTCAATATAAATATTATTAAATTATTTTTCATTTGAATAAGATAAAAATATGCAAAAAAACATAATTTTGTCTCATTGCGTGCATATACACGTGCCGAATTTCTAGTACAAATAATTGCTCTTAAATCATGTCTAAAGGATCCTAAAGGGATGTGTAAACTCTTTTATGAATTTGAGAAAGAAAAATGCAATATAATAAGGATGAAAAAAATGAGAGGAGGAAAGCAAATGGAAAGTGAATATCATGTGAACATAAAATCCTATAGAAAAATTCCCTAAGGACCCAAAATATTGGACCAACAGGAAGGACATGTGAGGTGTCCCCCTGCTATTATATAATGAGTTTGTCATCATTAATGATGACCAACTCATTATGCAATAGGAGGGGGACACCTTACCTGTCCCCCCTGTTGGTCCCATATTTTGGGTTCCTGTAGCAAAGCTCTATCCTATAAGGGTCCCTCCATAGAAAAATCATACACCTAGTAAGAAAAAATACAACAACTATTTTTGTATATGTTTTAAAGTTGAGTTTTTACATTAAAATCATCTTCACTTTTAACCAAATTGATATTTACCACTTTTAAAGTTTTTTTTAATGTTAATTAACTTTACTTGCTAATGTGTTTGCAATGTCACAACTTTTTTTTACTGTTCATCTACAAAAAATTAGATATTCCCATTTTACCCCCATCTTCTTCCTTCTAACCCCTAACCCTAACACTAGCCTCCTTCATCCTCCTCTTCTACAAACCCTAACCCTAATTCTAACCCATGGCCGCCATCTCCCTTTAAACCCTAACCCTAACTCATGGTAGCCACCTCTCCCAAAACCCTAATCTAACCCATGGCCGCCACCTCCTCCAAACCCTAACCCTAATCCTAGTTCCCCACTTGGGAAGGAATGGGAGAGTAGGAGGTCCGGGAGGAAGGAGGAGGACGAGAGAGGGGGAGGGGAGCTAGGGGAGGAGGGAGAGGAAATATAGGGAGAAGAGAAGGATGAGGAGGCTAGGGTTAGAGTTAGGGTTAAGGTTTGTGATGAAGGAGAAGGGAAAAAAACAAGAAAATGATGAAGGTAAAATGATAATTTTGGGTATTTTTGGCTGGAAACTAGATTTGGTGTAACATTGCAAACATGTTAGCAAGTAAATGTGGTTTACATCAAAAAAATCTTAAAGGTGGTAAGTATTAATTTGGATAAAAGTAAAGATAATTTTGACGTAAAAACCCTTTTAAAGTTAGGTGATTGTGCTAACGAAGGAACAAATATTTTAATTATTTATATTAAAATTAGTGAATTTGCTGATATTGTATCTTAAAATTGATAGTAAGATACTTTCCATATTCTACTGTCTCTAACCCCTCTAAACTTTGAAAATGACACTTAACTCCCTTTAAGTTTGGTATGTTTCATAATGCCCCCAAATGTTTTCAAAATTTTCAAATAACCACCTTAATGATGGTAGTAATGAAACAATTAAAAAAAATAACAAAATACTCCTTTTTCAATTAACACTCTAATTATTAAATAAGTTAACCATTAACTACTATTAATTATGGGGTTCTTTAATTACAAATAAAAAGGGATAAAAAAAAGCTTCTTTCCCCTAAAATAGTGACATTTGGATGCACGTGATTCTCACATGGATGACCAGATTTAACAGTGTTAGCTAGAGGGGTCGTCTGACAAAGCTTTGGGCTTAAGAAACATTTCTAAAGTTTAAGGGGTTATCTTAAAAACAATCAAACTTAATGTAATTTTCTGGAATTTGGCTCATATTTTTTTCCCACTGCTCCTCTCTGGACTATTGCATTTGAAACTTTAATGAGATGGTCCCTGTTCCTCCACAGCCACACCCACTTCGTTTAAACCGTTGCCTAGATTATCACTACGCATGCAATAATGAGGGGGGGAAGAATCAAATATAATGCAAGTAAACTTAGCACAACAGCATAACCAACAATTATTGCAGGCACAGTGATAATCTAGGCAATGGTGATAATCATTTTAGAATTAATTTTATAACTCATTGTACGTGGTAATCGACTTGAACTTTGATGTGTCTTCTTCAATAATTGAATTCAAGAGCACAAGCTAGCATTCTGCTGGTTTTCAGGAAGATTGCGATATTCCTAGATTCTTTCCTGTCCATAATACATGTTTTTGTTAGTTGACTTAGGGCTTGTTTGACAGTCACGCAAAAACTGGGTCAGGTTCAACCCCGACCGAGTTTTATTCTAAACCAGTTTAGTGTTGGATCACTACCCTTCTATTTCAAGACTAAACTGGTTTATGGCCTCGTTTTGGCTCAAGAAACACTGGGCCAGAACTGGCTCAGTTTTTACCAATAAAAAACAACCTAAAACTAGGTCAGGTTCAGTCCTTGCCCAGTTTTAGGAGTTTGGCGATCACCTAAAAACTAAAAACTGGCTCAATTCTACTCTAAACCAGTTTAGTGTCGGACCACCACCCAATAGTCCAACACTAAACTGGTTCTATGGCCTTTTTTGGCCTAAAAAAACCGGGTCAGGATTAGTCCTGACCCAGTTTTAAGAGTATGCCAAACACACCCTTGTATTAGTTGCATAAATAAGCTAATGTTCTTGCAAGTAGATTTGTCGGTTTCACCAAAGTAAAATGATTGATAATTGTTATTGATCTTCTCTGATGATTGATACTTATAGATAGAAGGTTTCAAATGTAGCTGTAATCATAAATAATATGGGGAGATATCAAATATTTGATAAACAAAAAAGTTGTATTAATTCGGATTTTTCCACGTGGAAAAATCCAATAGAAAATTCACTAACAAAACATGGATTATTGAGAAATCCATGGAGCTAAAGACGCAGCAAAGTTATGGAGAATTATTTATGCTCCTCCCCTCCTAATTAGACTTTAGTCACCGCAAGTTGCTCTTTACCTGAATAAAATATATTTGATTAGAGGTGGATGAGCCATTTGCTACCTGGGAATTAGTAAATTACAAAAAAAAAGGCTCGACAGGACATGAAAGCAGCCTCTCATTGGCCGACCGACCTTTTGTCTTTTTCCCATTTGCTCAAATACCCCTGCGCCCCCCCTCCCTCTCTCCTCGATCGCTGCTCTCCGTTCGGGCCTCAAGAACCCTCACCCGCCGCTTGAGCCTGAGACTTGAGGTGTCTTTTTCGAACTTGGTTCTTCTGGTTCCTCCCATCTGCTGTGATATTTGCGGTGCCAGATACCCTTGGTGGACAATTTGAAGGCTTTGCACATGTTTTTTTTTTTTTTTTTTTTTTGCATCGTGTAAAGCACACGCCTTCTTCGTGTTATTCATGTGATGAATTTGCCGGGTTTCCTCTCTTTTGGGTTTTAGTGTTGGTTGTAAAATGATTTTCCTCTCTTGGGCATGATCACTTTTATGTGGGCATCTACGGTTTTGATGGGCAAGTTACCTTCCTGCCTTGTAGTTGAGAGTACTGTGCTTTCCTTTGGGAAAAAAAAAATGTAAGTTTGGGTTCTTGATTAAGAGCAAATTGCTCCAACGGGCCGTCCATGTTGGAGACTAAATATAGGGAATATGATTTGGCATTCCAAATCAAGGATAACAGAGTGACGTAGAGAGCACTGTTGGAGCAACTTTTCCCCATTCTACTCCCTATATTTAGTCTAGGACATGAGATAGGGAGCTATTTGGGGAGCATCGTTGGAGCACTTGCTCATTATTCGGCTCCCTATTTCTTAGGATGAGAGATTTGCTCCTCAGATATAGGGAAAACCTAAGATTACTCCTGGAAATGCTGTTATGCGTGTAAAAAGTATCTTGATTCATGTCAATAACTAGCTTGTTGTTGTATTCAAGTATGCTTAACTGGAATGTGCAATGTTTTTGGTTTTGATTTATATAATCGCGATATTTTGGAGCCTAATCATCCGGCGATTTGGGCAGTGCTTGAAGATGCAAGCTGCTGTGTGCTTCAAACCCCACGGAGGAAGTGGGCAGCTTTCAGTTCCCCAACAAGCCCAAGCTAGTTTGCTCCCATGGTGGATCGGAGGTCAATCACTTTATCATGGAGAACCTTTCACCCAGTCGAAATCGACCGCTGGAAATTGCCTTAACGGAGAGGACCAAATGGTTGGGCGGAGGCCGGCGAGTTCAGATAGACAAGGTGGTGATACTGCCAAGTTTTCGATGACTCGAGGTAAAAAAAAAACTTGTGTTTTGGTCACTTTCTGGTACTATTTTTTTTATCGTCAGGAAGGTTCCTCATTTTTTTTTTAATCTACAGTATGCTTTGTTGTGTTATCTCAGAACAGAACAAATCATAAACTGAAGCCTTTGTTGTATGCACGCTTGTTGTTTGAGGAGTTACTGTCAACATATTTTTAGTCGTTTTCTTACTAAGAATCGTTTGCCAAACAATTCCCTCTCCTCTGGAAATCTGATGCTACTTTGTTCATATACGTTTGTTCTTTAGTTCCTCAGTTTCATCCCCTGGCTAATAGTACTGTAAAACATAACCGTAGCCATCAACTCATGTCTCGACTGTTTCGGGTGTTTTTATGTGGAGAGCCTTCGTCAACTCATGTATCTGGATTAGGATTCCAACCCCATAGATACATATTTTCGGGAAGTGAGAAAACTGAAATTTGAGCGGCTTGTAGAGAAATTTGAAAGAAACCTGAGGTTTTCTCGATAGAGAAAGAAAAGTCGTGAGGGGATCAAGATTGTGATTATATGAATATATAACTATAGACCTCGTCCCTCAGCACATCCTTAGAGATTCGATCCAGTGGCAAAGACTTTAAGATGGTATCAGAGCAATCCAGGTTTAAATCATCATTGCCACAAACTTCTAAAGCAGATTAAAAAACGACACCAATATGTGAGTCTAGATTTTAGCCATTGGAAGGATTCTCAACCGGCGGAGGCATGTTAAGATACAAAACTATAACACTCAAAACTCGCCACAGCTTCAAAGTTTTGGTGCAGTGTCAATGACTTTAAGAGTAATGACTTAATATAAGATTTAGCGGATTGTTGTAGACTCCGACGTGTCAGGAATATAGCTCTAGTTTGGAGGTGAAGCTTGTTGAATCCCGTGTTTCTGATTTGAGTTTCTCTTATTTATTCTCGCCATTGTTCTTTATCTTCCATTATACATTACTGTGAACTACGTGGTTGGCTGATTAGCATAGAGAATCCATAGTACAGAGTTGAGAAAGAAAGAGCTGAGAAAAAACAAAAACCAAATCTAATGTTCTCTTGTTGAAATAATGAAGTGGTGAGAATTTCGTAATAGGTGATTCGGGGGCTTAAAGTTTAGTAAAGACATTTCATGCTTGAAAGAACTGGATGTCCTTAAAGGAGAGGTCATAGCAGATCTTAGATGCAGTGGAGTTCAGCAGAATAGTGAACACGCCACCAATCATTGTGAATGGTGTTATTCGAAGGAATTTGTAAGAATTCGAGCTTGTCTTTAAAATGGATGTATGCAATAGCTAGATAGCTGAAGACAAAGCTAAAATAGATGGAATAAGACTTGTTAATCCTTGTTATATGTTGGCAAGAATTGTAAAAGTTGACTACATTATGGATCTTGTATACCAGATGAATTCATTCTCCTTGTCGAATAGCGCTCTCTATGGAGGATAACTCGATAACAGTAATTACAAACTACCATGGACATTGGGGTGTTTTCTGGACAAAACTACTGTAAATTTATTGAGAGAAAACTACCATGAACTAATCTACTATGCATGCTTAAGGCAGCCAGGTAAGTTGTCAATTGCTTCGCATGTGATATGGTTTAAACAACTCTGCCCTAAGGTACTTCCTATATCTTTTATTTTACTCTTAGGAACTGTCAGTTGATAGATATAAATAAGGGTAATAAAATTTCTTATGTTAGTTTTTTGCAAACCCATCATGACTCATGGTTGTTTTGTGAAGTTCACCTTTTCTCTAAGTACCCACTTGACAAAGCACTAATCTACCGCTAAGCGAGTTTTGAAGTAAATGGTTGAACCTTGAGTACTTTCAAGTACCTCTCTTTAAGTACTTTCCTCTTGTGCAAATGTGTGGAGCATGCTTGATACATAGCATGTGCTCCCAGAAATTTATATGTGGGCAACATCATTACTATATTAAGCTAGTCTAAATTCAAGCCAGGCTGTCTATAAGTATTTGAAGAATTGAAGAAATTGGCAGGATCCTGCAAAACATTTGATTTACCTAACATGCTATGGTGTAGAATTCAGAGACCTGAGAATCTAAAGAACATATCTGAAATTCAGACATCAAAAGGTTTGGGTTGATTGACACAACAAGAAAACTAAAATAGTGATGATTATTAATAGCTTAAAGTTGGAGGGCAGTAAAGGAAAATAATAGCTAGTCCTAAACTTAGCATGAAAAACACTGGTGATAAAAGCTGTATTTTTTAAGATTTCAGTACATGCAATGTATGAAGTCTTCAAGTTTCCAAGGATCTCTCTAAGCATGAACTCAATTGGAAAATATATTCATTATATTTCACGGTTTTGACTTTCCAACACTATTCCTTCACATTTACTGTTATACGAAATTGAATTCTTGACCCCCTAACAAGTTTTTGATTCAGACAACAAGGATTCTGGAGGTCAGAAGACCCAGAAAAGTTCCACTACAATCTCTCTGCCGTCGCCATTTGAATACCAAGGACACTTTGAATTGGGACTGGGTCAGTCTACGGTATACTTTCTCTTCATTCATACTGTACATTTTCAACAGAAAATTCAGGAAGTTTGATAGAATATAGCACAGTGGAATACTCGTCTTTGAGTTATCTTTGACAACTACAATTGACATTGTAGGCTTGCTCAAATTATCCTTTTGTTGATCAATGCTATGGCCTGTATGCAACATATGGAGCTCAAGCTATGGTTAGTTTCTCTTATCTTATTGAAGACTGAGGTATTTTGCTAGATTGAAGAATCCTTGTGCATCTTTTGGAGTGGAATTGTGGTTTTTTCTTGAATTGAATACAAAAGCTTTTAAGTTCCCTTTTGCGAAGGTTTAACAAATAGATGAATTACAGTAGTTTATATTTGACTCGAATTTAAACGAGTTCAAGATAAGAATTTTTAGTTTAAAAAGACTGTCAGGGTAACAATTAACTTCTTTTCCCTTGACTTTATCAAAACTTTCTGATGTTATACATCTTCTGGATATTATACACCTAAGTTACACTTCTAATTTCATGGGCTCTTTCACAGTTTCAGTTCGTTGCGATTTTGATAAGGAAAATTCTGATCATCAGATGAAATTAGACAAAGAAAAGAATGATGCATGACACAAGAGGCTTTACCACTGGGGTATAATCGCACTCATGGTAGGTTGACAAGTTGAAGCTGAAACTTGAACCCTTGTAAAAGATTTGCACCACTGTCCAGATCAAACTATCATATAATTCAATGCCTTACTTAAAGCTCAAAAACTCTTGAGCAGATTCTCCTGAAACTCTGTAGACAGACATTTGTTATTAATTTTAGGTAGATCAGTTGTTGAGAGGTTCTTGCTCTTGGTGAAGGATACTTGTTACTACTAGGATATGCTTCCATCAGAGGCTAATCAGGAAGTAGTTTTGAATTGTTCAATGTTCAAGTTCTAGAACTTTTATGTGCCTTATGGCTGTCAATGTAGAGGGTTGCTTGAGATTGATGAGGTCACTCTATGCTTTACTAGCTTTCAATAAGTTTTCCAGAAATGAGTTGATGCACTATGTTAGGATGTCATAATCCTAAATCTATATGTTTGATTAATTATTTAGATATGTCAGAACAATAAGTTTTGATATAAAAAAAAAGTAAGGACTCCCAAGGATAGATTGAAAATTTTATGGACCTTCCTGTTTATGGCTACTCAATGTTTTCATACATTATCCATAAGCTTTAGTTATGATGCATTGCTAGATGTTGCCATGTATGTCACTAATGACTAGTTTCTCCTTTCCTTGAAGCATGGGCGTATGCTTCTGCCACTGAATATGACAGCTGACATACCAATATATGTGAATGCAAAGCAATATCACGGAATTGTTCGGCGTCGACAGGCTCGTGCTAAAGCAGAGATGGCAAACAAACTGATTAAAGTTAGGAAGGTATCCACAATATCCCATGGTGGAAATATGTAATATATGTTGGCAACGGGAACGGTATCAGCGGACATCTCATTTAGGAAATTGAGCTACCAAGAAATAAGAGTAGTGTGGCCTACCTACCTACCCCCATTTAATTAGCAGGATAGGCCTCACCAATAGTCTATCTTTTGGGAGCTCATTTGCCAAAATGAGTTGTCACCTCATACATTATTGACTTTGTCAAGATAGGTTACAAATCCTCCAAGTTTCTTGTACAGATGTGAACCAATAATCTCTTTACTCAGTGGACTCTATGAAAGATATTTGTTTACATGCATTTCATGTAAAAACAGAATTATAATTGTGGAACTCATTGAAGAAAGAGATTTATTGGTCCTCAGAACAGATTATAGGATTCTCTACAATCAAGCATGTAGAGAATTCGAAGGTGCCAAAATAGGCGACTTTTCACTGGTACTGTATGTGTGTGTGTGCCTGTATGTGAACCTAATTTTTTTCCTCCCTTATTTTCAGCCATATCTTCACGAGTCCCGTCACCGTCATGCCATGCGTCGCCCAAGGGGAAACGGGGGGCGCTTCCTAAACTCAAAGAAGGATGATAATTCACACGATGGAAAGAACACCAACATCAAGGCTAGAGAGCAGCCACCTATGATAATCTCCACATCTCCAAGCTCCGAAGTCCTGCACTCTGACAGTGGAAACCTCAACTCTGCAAGCAGTGGCTCGAGCAACAATGGATCGGAGGTGACAAGCATGTACTTCATCAATCATTTTCGCCCGTCCATTTACATGATGGACGGTGGCCTCCTTAAAGTTTGACTACTGATCTTGGGGATGACCATTGATTATGGTATTTGCTCTCAGATAGCCAGTATCATAATCCTGTGGGAATCCCCAAGACTGAGACAACCAGATGAAAGAATGAGCTATTTTGTCAGTTCCATTCTGGCTATAGTCAGTTCTTGGTTTGAGGGCTTGTCCGCACCGTCATCTGGTTGTTTGAAGGCAAATCATTCTTGGCTTATCTGCATTCAGAGCTTTCATTACTATGAGAGCTCTTTGTGCAGAAAAAACTAGGGTTTCAACCCATTACTAGTATTGTGAGAATAAGAAGCAAAACTTGTGCTCCTTTGCTTTCATGTTTGGTGTTCAAGGGGTAGACCTTGTGCTAGGTATTGTATTGTTTTGTATTTGCTATTAGTAGCTTTGGGTGTGAAAACTTGTTCTGGCTTGTAAAATTGCACGAATCGTGTAAATTTCTTCAGTGTTGTTTGTGAAATTATCTTACTTCATTTCTTTGCTCTGCCATTGTATGATATTTGGTGTAAAAGGAGAGGGGATTGGACTGTACCTAGAGTTAGATTTGTGTGCATATCCTGTTCTCTTTGCTAAAATTGTTAATAGGTAGAAGCCAAGAAATGATTCTACCAAAACACTCTATAGAAAGGGGTGATCTATACCATTCACGGGTGGTAAGAGGGTTAGTTTGGGAATTACAATTCTTCTATTTATGGTGTAGATCAACCCACTCGTATAGGGCTGGTTCTAAGGATCCCTACTGGTAGAAGCTTGTAGGGTTACTACCAATTGACACCCTAGATTAATTTTTTTTGACTCTTTTACCCTTGGTAAAATTTTGGTAGATATTGGCAAAAGAGTCCGGAAAAAATTTAACCCCGGGGGTCTATCTGTAACAATAAAACTACAAGGTAAGTAAGTTAAAAGAACAAGGATCCTAAAGGAGGTCTATGTGGAATTAACCTAAAAATCATGGTTTGGTCATTTATCCTTTTGGGGACCATATAAGCAAGTATAGTGCTGAGAATGTTCCTTCTATTGTAAAATGTTCGGAAGATATATGTGGAACACAGTTTAAGCTTTTACTAAGGTCTTATATGCCAATTACTTGCTGCAATTGTTCATTTATAATGTCTCATAGAAAATATCCTTGGCAAGCAAGGTTAATTTTGTGGAGAAGTTTTTCCCAGTGTACCAACGAAAATGGAGAAAGATGCTTATTTGATTCAAATTCAGTGTATTGTTTTTATTCTTGGCAATTTAAAGTTGTTTGGAGTGAAAGGAAACAGGACTGAATTTTTCTTATGTTCCTGTTAATTAAAAGTGCCATCACTTTCCCGTAACCAGCTATGAACCATTTGCAATTATGTTCAAGTTCAAAAGAAAAGTAAAATTTAACAAGGACACTTTTCTAACAAGTAAATTACCGGAACATATGTTAAAGTTGTTTTGATGCTTGTATGTACAATTTGGATACTTTAAAACCAAACATCAGAGCAAAAAAATCAGAGTATCATGCTTGAAACGATATTAACAAGGACAAATATTCAAATAAAGATGAGATTCAAGAAGAGTCATGATGAATGATGCATTAAATTAACAAAAGTTAACCTTGAGCATAAGAGTGTACATTACATGTATTCCCTCAAGAAAAAATGAAGACTCCAACTCCTCCATCAATTGTTAGAATAAGCCATCATCCGGGGTTCCAACATTCGATAAGATTTTGCAACAGACTACTCTCATCATTGCATTATTCATGAAGTAACATTATTGATCCCAAAGTATACAGTCTTTCGTTGAAATGCATTGGTGGCATAATCAACTCGAAGCTGACCTAAATGTGAGTTGAAGCGAAATCCATATCCGAGTCCAACTCCATATCCTGGCTTCCCTTGCCGAAGGGCAGGATTGCCTGATAACATGCAATATAAGTCAATCATCACTAAGAGATGACAAACAAGACATCACCAAAAATATCATACAGAAAGGGCCCTCTACACAAAAGAATTATGTATGCAAGAGAATGTGGCATTGGTCAAACATCCATTTTAAGTTGTTGACTGCACTGATTATGTAGAGTTTGAATTGATACAATTTTTTGGTTGTACCAGCATTTTAACTATTTGCAATATTTTTGATTGCTCTTATTTAAAATTAGTAGTAAAACATGTGTCACATTCTCCTTCTTTCCTTC